TTCCAAGTCTCCCCGTCCCCCAGCCCCCAGCGCCGCGCTAATAACTTCCAGCCGCCGGACCTCTCTGAGAGAGCTCCGCAGGCGTGGGGCGGGACCAGGGGCCAGGTCAGGAGACAGGGTCCTTACGAGGTGAGGCTGGGGACCCTAATACTGTCAGCTCTGCTCTTCCTTCTCGGGATTTTGCAAATCCCCAGCCGTTGGGGCCAGGGAAGGCAATTTTATTGCCGACGACTTTATGAGCCAGAGCTGCGGCTAGGCGGAGAGTCTGTGGTACACAGAATCTGGGGGCCGCCCAGGACGGGTCCAGCCCGAGAGTGCACTGGGCCGCGTCTGGCAGCGCAGAGTAGCCCTGGGCCCGGTCTGGCGGGTGGTTCCGCCGGTTTCTCTCTGCACCTCCCCACCCTGTAGAAATACCGCTGCCGGGACGTCTACCAGCTCCAGACCCACCGCGGACCCGGGGTGGGGGGTGGGGGCGCAGGAGGAGGGGAACGCGAGGCTCGGGCCCAGCGCGGGGGGCGGGTCCGAGGCGGGGGGCCCAGATCGGGAGCCGCGCTGGGGCCCAGGCAGCTGCGGAGCCGAGCGCGGCGGGCGGCTGGACCGCCACAGCCCCGCTGGCCATGAGCTTGGGATCCGAGCCCCGGACACCCCGGACACCCTTCAGCATCGCAGACATCCTAGGCCCGGGCAAGATTCCCCGAAGACCCTCTGTGTCGCGGCCTCCAGAGTCGAACCAGGGTCCCACGTCGCCGCTGTGCGCGCTGGAGGAGCTGACTAGTAAAACTTTCCGCGGACTTGACGGGCACACACCGCAGCTCTCTGAAGGTACAGCTCCGGCGAGGTCGCCCACTGTGACTTGGCCTTCTCCCCATTCCTCTCCTCCAGGTTCCTGGTTTCGAACCTTCGTTCACCCCGGCCGCTACCCTAACCTGCACCCTGCCCGCGGCCCACGTGCCGGGGTTTGCCTCCTCCTCTCCTCCCCTCCCCGCCGTTAGTTCCCAGGCTCCGCTGCCGCTCCAGGAGGCCGCCAGCGCCGGGGGTAAAGGACCAGACTGTCGAAAACTGAGCGACTCTTGGGTCCGTTCGTTATAGGCCGAGCAGTCGCGACAGAGAAAGGCCGGAGAGCAGACAAAGGGCCTGGCCTGGAGGCTGTGCATGAGCGAACTGGGGTTAGGACCGCACAGAAAGTGCTGGGAGGTGAGGCTCGGGCCTCACCGGGTGACCAAGCTCCGCTCCAAGCCGCTCTCTTTTCGAGAGGGCTCAAGGAGCAGCGGGGCCATAGAGCCGCAAGAGACGCGGGGCTCTGGACTCTGCTCTTCCTCGCCCTTGGTACCCCGCTCTCCTTTTGGGCTCGAGGAGGGAGTGCTTGTGTCATCCAAAACGAGTAAGCCGAGAGTACCCGACATCCACGAGTTTAAAACGGGGCAAGATCAGGGTTCTGTTACACTTACCATGCCAGCTGGCTGCCCCTACTCTGACCATGGTCGGCCCTCGCCACTGGTGGCGGCCTGGATCTGCAAGTCCGCTCCAGCAGGCGCTCCGGAAGGCCTCAGAGTCCCCGCCCTGTGCCTCCAGACGGCGCACCCGTTCTCCTCTGGCTTGTCCCGGCTTCTTCCCAGTGCCCTGACCCCGCGAGATGTCCTCATCCTTCTGCCTCCCAAGGGTACCCTGGAGGCCGGCTCCACTTTGCGCCCCACCCCCCGGGATGAAACACCACCGTCGCCCCTCGTAAAGTTCGGGAAGGGTCCGCGGCTCTGGCTCCGGTTCGCCTTCTGGCTCCGCACCAACCCTCCCCCTCTCTGGCTTGACCCCACGCCCGCTTCTCCTCGCGGACCGAAGCCTGAGCCCCCAGGCTAGGAGGCTGACCCCCACCCTGTCCCCGCAGGCCGCGCGGCCCCGGGCTCCCTGGGCCCCGACCCGGCTGGCCGCAGACGGCGGAAGTCACGCACGGCGTTCACCGCGCAGCAGGTGCTGGAGCTGGAGCGGCGCTTCGTCTTCCAGAAGTACCTGGCGCCGTCCGAGCGCGACGGGCTGGCGGCTCGGCTCGGCTTGGCCAACGCGCAGGTCGTCACGTGGTTCCAGAACCGGCGCGCCAAGCTCAAGCGCGACGTGGAGGAGATGCGCGCCGACCTCGCCTCGCTGCGCTCGCTGTCCCCGGAAGCCCAGGGCCGCCTCGCGCTGCCGGACGGCGCCCCGGGCCTCGGCCCTGGCCCCGCCCGGCCTGACTCTGAGCTCCATCTTTCTGACGAGGAGATACAGGTGGACGATTGAAGGCAAAGCTGCCTCCAGGGCTCTGCGGGCGCTGACCTCCGCGCCTGCCCAGGTTCCGGGGTAGGAAGAAGGGTGTCCATCCGCCCCTCTCGGCTCACAGTCCAGACGCCCACCTTCCCCGATTGTTGAGAATAAAGTCCAGACTTTGCCGCAGCACTCCTGCAAATCAGGAGCAAAACCTCCTGATTATTGCGAAGATTCCATGCTTTGCACTGTGCCGAGCGCTTTAAATCCGATGTTTCCCTTAACCTTCATAGCAACCCTATAAGGTAGGTGATACGGTTATGTCCGTTTTACAAAAGAAGAAGCCCTAAGTCAGGTTGTAGACCCAGGCATCCAACCACCCTTCAGAGCTGGTGCTTGCCAGCTCTCTGCTCCGGAGACGCTGGGTGAGGGGAAGGGCACTGGAGTCTGATAGCTCCCAACCCCTCCTCTAGGCCCGCCTCGGGGCTTCCCTGGTAGCTCAGCTGGTAAAGAACCCGCCTGCAATGTAAGAGACCGGTTCGATTCCTGGGTCGGGAAGATCCGCTGGCGAAGGGACAGGCTACCCACTCCAGTATTCTTCGGTTTCCCTGGTGGCTCAGCTGGTAAAGAACCCGCCTGCAATGTAAGAGACCGGTTCGATTCCTGCGTTGGGAAGATCCCCCAGAGAAGGGAAAGGCTACCCACTCCAGTATTCTGGCCTGGAGAATTCCATGGACTGTATAGTCCATGGGGGTCTCAAAGAGCTGGACACAACTAAACGACTTTCACATCACTTCACTTCAGGGGCCGCCTTAGTTCCAGAACTCCACTCGGGGTTTGATCTGCCGCCGCCTGGCAGACCTTGCACCTAACTGACAGACTGGTGCCTGAATGACAGCGTCCCACCTGTCTCTCCTCCTTCCCCACCCTGGGGTCATTTGTTAATAGGGTCCCGACCCTTCACCTTTTTCCCGCCCTGGGAGAGTCCTACACTGAGACCCAGGCGAAGTGATAAGCTCTGAGAGAGGGGACATGACCCTGCTTCTGGGACCTCCACCCCACCTTGCGCTGGTGGGAAAATGTCCCCACCAGGATGGTGGTGGTGGCGGCGGGAGGGTGGGGAGGACTGGTCCTACCCTCTGAGGCAGAGCTTGGGGTAGCTGCTTGCAGGGTAGAGAGCCCAGCCCACCTCCTCCAGCAGGCTTTTCTGAAATAATTTCTAACCGCATTAATCGTCCTCCCCCATGTGATGGGGAGGGAGTGCAGGTTGTCCCTGAGCCGGCCATCCCTACTCTCGGTCAGGAGCCTTCTTGCTTCCCCATCACTGACGGGAACAGATAATGACCACTAGTGTAGAGCTGAGAACCTGTCATCTCACAGATGTAAAGAACAGACTTTTGGACTCTGTGGGAGAAGAAGAGGGTGGGATGATCTGAGAGAATAGCATTGAAACATGTATATTATCACATGTGAAACAGATCGCCAGTCCAGGTTGGATGCATGAGGCAGGGTGCTCGGGGCTGGTGCACTGGGATGACCCTGAGGGATGGGATGGGGAGGGAGGTGGGAGGGGTGTTCAGGATGGGGAACACATGTACACCCATGGCTTATTCATATCAATGTATGGCAAAAACCACCACACTACTGTAATTAGCCTCCAATTAAAAAAAAAAAAGAACCTGTCATCTATCATGTACAGAAAGTATTCTCTGCACCTGTGTTGCCTCTTCAGTACACATAGACAACACACACATACCTCCCCTGGTTCCTGTCAGGACCCCTTCTGTATTCCCTTCATGCTCTTCTAAAGTCTGCCTCTCTGGAACCTTTAAATTGGAGTGACCAACTCTTTCATGTTTGCCCAGGACTTTTCCAGTTTTAGCACTGAAAGTTCCATACCTTTGGAAATCCTTCAGTCCCAGGAAAACCACGATGTTCAGTCATTCTGCTTTCCAGCCCTGGGGACTCAGAGCTCAGGCACTGGGTCAGAACCCTACCAGTTAGCAGTGTGAGTGTGGGATAAAGTGGAGGCAAGGTGTCAAGAGTCCTATGGCTCTTGGGGATTCAAGCCCAGGACAGTCTAAGAGGTACTGGGGAAGGGACATTTCTTTTGAGAGGCTAGAACCCTCCTCTAATTAAGGCTTCCTAAATTCTAGCCCAGGGCTGCCACTTCTTATAATCAAGGGCTTGAATAAACAAAACTCAAACCTGTAACCCCAAAATAGCCTCCTGGATGAGTGTCTCCTCCCCTAGGTCCTAGAGCTGCTGCTGCGGCTGCGTCACTTCAATCATGTCTGACTCTGTGTGATCCTATGGGCTATAGCCCACCAGGCTCCTCTGTCCATGGGATTCTCTAGGCAAGAGTACTTGAGTAGGTTGCCAAGCCCTCCTCCAGGGGATCTTCCCAACCCAGGGATCAAATGTCTTCTGCATTTCAGGCAGATTCTTTACCGCTGAATCACCAGGGAAGCCCAGGTTCTAGAGCAGACCTTCTCAAATGTCAGGATACCTCACAATCACCTGGAGGGCTTATTGAAACGTAAATTGTTGCTCCCTACTCTTAGTTTCTGATTCAGAAGGCCTAGGGTGGGCCTGAGCATTTGCATTTGTGAAAAGTTCCCAGGCAACACTGATGCTACTGGCTCAGGGAACAGGCTTTGAGAACCTCAGTCCCAGGAACTCGGCACTTTGTGAGATAAGCAGCAGTTCAGTCACACCCTCTTTCTGGCGCTGGAATCATGAATATGTAGGACAACTGCAGAGAAAAATCAGTTTATTGAACACTTGCTATGTTCCAGACTTTTGGTAAGTATCTTCTCACACTTTCTCTTTCTGCCTTCATAGCAGCCCTGTGAGGTAGGGATCGTCCACATTGTACAGAAGAGGAAATGAAGCTCAGGAGTTAAGAAATCTGCCCAAGGTGACACAGCTTGTAATGACAGACTGCATTCTGCCATACAGTATTTAAGAGGCCTGCAACCGTAAACAAAAGAATTTGGGAAAGCCTTAAACAGAGGAGGTGTCTCAGCACCTCCTATCTCTAGGTACAAATGGTGTTGAGTCAGACCCACATGGCAGCAAGAGTCCTTTATCCTAATAAATTGTTCTCCTGAGACAAGCATACTGGGAGGCCTGCGGATCCGCATTTTAATGAACTGAGAGTCCCAAGCAGAGCCCGGGAGGAACCAGCCAGGAGGAGCTGTCAAGATCTTAGAGGAACAACTAGAAGGAGGTCATGTTTCTTATAGAGAAATTAGAGAATTTTAATATTTTTAGGGGCAGTGACCCTGGGTAGAAAAACTAAGTAAATTCACATGGGGGAAATGCTAGTTACAATGCCCTGCGCTGGAGTGGAGAAAGAATATGACCAAAGTAGCAGAAGCCTGTGTACCTGCTGAGGCCGCATCAGTGGGAGAGCCAGCAGGTGGGGTATATGGAGATGTATGGGTTCTGCCAGCTCCAGCAAGGGGCTGGTAAGGGGCTTCCCAAATGCACACCCTTGGTGAATCTTCTAGCAGTGGAAGGAGGTGAGCATCAGAACCACTGGACAAAGGAGAGGTCAGAATATGCATAGAAGTGTGGACAGGAAACAAGGCATGAGAACTGAGGCTTGAGAAAACATGGTGAGAACTGGGATTAGGAAGAAGTGAGCATCCATCAAGCTGAAGATCAAGACTTAGGCCTTATTCATTACTGTGACCCCATTCCTGAGCACAGAGCTCTGGCTGGTGAGTTCCCTAAGACCAAGAGCAAGCTTCAGATGCCCCTACAGACAGGTCTGTTATAGTCTGAAAATCTGAATTTTTGTACAGATCCCTTTTTGAGCCTTGGGGGATTTTATTCTTCCTTATTGCTCCCAGAAGAAGCCATCTGCTTAAGAACCAAAGAAAGGCTATTTCAGTGGATGCAGGGCTCCTTTCTCTCATCAGAGGGTCTCTGTGTGAAGAGGTATGACTGCCGGGGATGTTCCCAACTGTGGTTTTAGAGTTCAGGTCTCAAAATGTGCAGTGAACTGCTACTACGCCATGTCCTTTATCCCTGTGGGATGCACACACGGCCCTGCCTATTAGGGACAGGTGCTCCTTCATCTGGTGTGAGGTGGATGCTGGGGCCCAAGTTCCAGGATGCCCCAGCCCTTTGAGGAGTCCTGGAGGTGGAGAGGACTGGGTCTTCTGCTCTGAGTCTGGGGGAGGGACCAGAGTGGCTCAGGTTGGGGATAATGCAAGGGTGGAGACAGAAGGCCAGGGGCCCTTGGGACAGTACTTTCAGGGCAACTGCAGGAGAAGAGGCCTAAAGGCCCCAGCTCAACATGGAAAAATGGATGGAGGAATTCGGTTGACGGAGGCAGCCCAGGGATTCCTCTTCGCTGGTCTTGCTGAGAAAGGTGGGGGGGGGGGGGCGGCACTTGACACTCCTTCCAGCAGTGCTGCCCGTGCCCCCCTTATCCTCCGCGTCCCTTATCCGTCTGAGGCAGGAAGTAGCACCACTTAGTATTGCAGTCTCAGCCAGTTCTCTCTGTTGCCCCCTCAGCATAAGAGCGGGCCTGATCCCCTTACCAGTGCAACTTGCAGGAGGCAGGAATGTTAGCTCCCAGACTGCGTTAGGCTGGGACCCACCTCTCAGTCTCCAGAACACACCGCTGCCTCTCCAAAATGCTTTGGTCCCAGAGGAATTAGAAGGAGGAAAGTTGAAGTGTCAGCAGAGGCAAGGAATGTTAAAACTTCCCTTTTCTCAAACTGGCTCCAGCTCTTAGTACCACTAGGACATTTTGGTAGTAGCTGAACTAGAAAATGTCAATGTACACCTGATCCCCACCCCATCCCACCCAATTCCTCTTCTGCTTCCAACCTCAGACCTGCAGTCCCATCACAGCCTTGCCCAGGCAGAAGAGGCCCCAGGGGCTGCATCAGTCAGGGCTCACACCCGCTGACCCAGCTGTTCTTTGCAGAATGAGCAATTTCCAAATAACCTGATAAAAACAAAGTGGGCAAAAGTCTGGGTCCTTGGCACCCAGCCTTGCCCTGATAGCTCAGCACAGAGGCCACCCCCACCCCCCACCCCACACACACACCTACTAGTGGTCCTGGGGGTTGAGGTTCAAGACTCAGGTGAACAGGACCATGGCCTTATGGTAGAAACCATTTTGAGCAAAGCTGGTACCCAACTCTGGGGAGAAGGGAGAGTGGGAAGGTTCAGATGGGGTTATCCTAGGGAGGGATGGGTGAGGAAGGAGAGAGAAAGAATCTCACTTGCCAGCTCCTGGCTCTGTTCTAAGGCAGCTGCCGTCAGTCCTGGAGATGACCTGGGGATGGGAAGCGAAGTCAAGGCCTCAGCCTCCCCAAATCCTTCTCCTTTGTTCAAACACTTTGCATCATGCAACTCACGGAGTCCTCATGACTGGTCTGTAAGATCGTATCAGCCCTACTTTCCTGTAGAGGAAACGACCCTGGGTCAGGCTGACAGTGATGGATCTTGATCCCTGGTCCCTTAACCTTGGGGCCAGAGACCCCCTTCTACTAGTCACTGCCCTCAGCCCTTAGTAGGTCACCTCTCTTCCCAAAGCCCTTTGGCACCCCTTCCCCTGGTTCTAGCTGAGGCTCTTCTGCCCACCTCCTCACCTCTGCCTTATGACTCTGCCTAGGGCTCTCTTCTTTTGGAGTGTTTCCTTCCTCCTGGTTCATCTTTTCTTGGAGACCCGGGCTTCTGCCCTGGGGCTCCTGACTCAGTCCCTTTTCTCTGTGGGCATTGAGGGGTCAATCTCCAACCTTGCAGAAAGCCAGAGACACAAAGATACTTAAACAGATAGATCCAGTGAGTCTTGTGAGCAGAAAGGAAAGTCAAGGAAGGGCAGGGATGACGTATGTCCTGGAGTAGTGGGAGGAGAGAGCGGGCAGAGACAGTGAAAGGAAGGAAGGAGGCTCTCTCTTCTTCCTCGCTACATGGTCCCCGAGCTGGGTGCCCAGAGCTGGATGGGGGGCTCCCATCAACATCTGTAATGAGAGAATTTGACAGGCCCACCTCTCCCTGCTCAGCATCTCAAAACATGCTGCTGGCTGTCATGGTGTCATCACGTCCCTTCACTAATTCTCCTGCTTTCCCAAGGGCTGACGGTGGCATTCAGCCCAGGCTGCTTCACCGTCCTGTCCCTACTCAGCCACAATGACGCCCCTGAGATGGAGCCCTCTTACTTGCTCTTCCAACTGTGTCCCTTGTCATACCCTTGAATATGAACATCCCCACATAATCCACCCTGGGGCCAGCTCAATGCCTAAACGAGTGCCACAGTTCCTGGCTGGCCTCTCCCCTGCACTTTATCTGTTTCTCCCCCAAACCAAGTTCTCAGCAATTATACTCTGTCTCAAAATTTTCCAGTAATCCCCCAATGCCAGGGCCACAGGCAGGACTGAGTCTAACCTGGGACTTGGACCCTTCCAAAAAGCTCCCTGGCTAAGCTTTCCAGTCTTCCCTTACAATCTTCCCTTACTTAGCTGCTGCCCTCCCGCTGCCACCAGGCTCCTCCCAGCCTTGGGGTCTTCCCCCAGCTGTCCTTGAATCCTTTCTGGCTCTGAACTTCTTTTTCACCACACTTTGCCTTACCTTCAAGGTGAAGTTCAAGTTCAAATCCCATTTCTGCCTAAAGCCTTCTCAGACTCTTTCATCTCCAGTTATATGTGTGTGTGTGTGTGTGTGTGTGTGTGTGTGTGTGTGTGTGTGTGTGTGTGAAGTCGCTCAGTCGTGTCTGACTCTGTGCAACTCCATGGACTGTAGCCCACCAGGCTCCTCTGTCTGTGGAATTCTCTAGGCAAGAATACTGGAGTGGGTTGCCATTTCCTCCTCCAGGGGATCTTCCCAATCCAGGGTTCGAACCTGAATCTCCCACACTGCAGGCAGATTGTTTACCATCTGAGCCACCAGGGAAGCCCCTCCAGTTACCTCTGCCCTCACTCAAAAAAGCAGCACTAACAGAGCCTGTGTTATATAGTTTAAAACCTTATTATTCACTGGTTTTTACTGCTCTTAACTAGCCAGGAGCACAGAGCTGGAAGAACACTGCTGAGAGCAGAGCTGCTTGCACCTTAGTTCTGTCTCTGCCACTTCCTGGCTGTTTGATTTTGGACAAGTCATTTAACCTCTCTGGACCTCAGCTTACTCATTCGCAAAATAAGGCAAGTCCCTTCAAGGCTTGGCCTGGACATTCTGTGGTTCTAATGAGGATTGTTTCCTTAGTAAGTGTAAACCATCTTTAAAACCAGACAGAAAAAGGCCTGCCTTGACCTTCTATTTCTCCCCCCAAACAGTCTATGCTACTCTTTTTTTTTTTTTAATGCTACTCTCTTAATTCACGACCTGGCCACTCATGATCTGGCCACGTAATCTCTTCATGAAATCATCTCCTACCCTTTCATCCTCTTCCAACTGCAGCAGTCTCCTCTGAAGTTCCTACAATGTGCCAAGTGTGCTCCCATTTCAGAGCTTTGGTATGTGTTATTTCCTCTGCCTGGAATGCTCTTTCCCCAGTGAATGGCTCAGTCCTTCACCCTCTTCAGATCCCTATTTAAATCTTCCGAGGGAGGACTTCTCTGACCACTCCATTTAAAAAGTGAAACCTCTCAATTCTCCTCAATGCTCCCTAACTTCCTTCTTGCTTTATCTTTCTTTACACTTCTCATATTTGACATATTATATTGTTTATTTGTTGACGGGCTGCCTCCACTAGACACTTCTGATTCACTGAATAGAGGGATTTTTGTCTGTTGGGCTTACTGCTTTCTTCCCAGTGCCTAGAACAGTGTGCAGCACATAGTTGGTGCTCAATAAGGGTATGCTGAAGGAGCAAAGATGGGTGAGGCAGCTACTGTAATTGAGATTCAGCCAGGAGCTGGCCCTGAAGAACCCTTTGTGATCTGGTGAGTTTAGACTCTGTCTTGTTAATGATACAAGTGGATCTGATCTAGGGATCCAGGGAGTGAAATGCTCAAATGAAAGAGTATTGGGGAAAGAGATGAATCTAGGTGTGAAATGTTTAGTCAGCAGGTCATTACAACTGTTTAAGTCAGAAAGAATGAATTCTTGAACTCGGGCTGTGGCTGCAGAAGCAGGACTGGAAATAATGGGATTGACCCAAAAGACACTTCAGAAATAGACTGACGACACAAATGAAGGAAAGGAAAAGGGAGGAATATGGAGAATGGTTCTCAGATTTCTGAATAAAGCAGCTGGAAGGAAGTTTGTGTGGTTAATCAAGATTAGAGGAAATGCAATGAATCTGCAAAGATGATGAATTAACTTCTGGACTTGTTGCTTTTTGAGATAACCGGGAAGCAGTTGGAAGTATGGCTTCTCGGTGCTCCCAAATCTGATCCTGTCCCTCCCATCAGCAATCCTACCACTTACTTCAGGACATCCAAACCCACTCTTTCAAGCCACTTGCTGTCCTCTTTCTCGCCTCTTCTCTCAAACCCGTAACTAAGGCCTCACTTCAGTTAAGTTCTCCTTAAGGTTTCTTTGCTTTAGTGTCTTTGTTCCCTCTGTTCATATCTTTCCCCAAGCAACTCCTTGTTGTTTAGTCACTAAGTCATGTCTGACTCCCGTGTGACCCCATGGACTGTAACCCACCAGGCTCCTCTGTCCGTGGGATTTCCCAGACAAGAATACTGGAGCGGATTGCCATTTCCTTCTCCGGGGGATCTTCCCCATCCAGGGATTGAACCCACGTCTCCTGCGTTGGCAGGTGGGTTCTTTATCACTGAGCCATCCCCAGTCCTCAACCCTCCTCTGCCCAATCCTGCCCACTTCAAGCATTCATCACCGCCGAGTTGTCCCTGGCTCCCCACCCTCCCTCCACTTGCATCGCGCTGCTTGACAGTAAGCCCCAGAGTCACTCCTCTCCAAAGACCCGGGAGAGCGCCACAGGACAGCCAGGGGATTCCCGCGGAGTCCTTTTTACCTCGGCGGCGCCTCAGTCCTCAGGACCGAATACCCTGCAGTGTTTGGAGACAGCAGCGACCCCCAGCGGGCAGCCAGGCCGCAGAGGAAAGCCTACAGGAAACTAAAGCGGCAGCGTCGGAAGGCTTCGGGGTAGACGAGTCGGAGCCTCTGCCCGCCTCGCGAAGCACAAAATCCCACTGAAAACAGATCCCAGTGGAGCCCTCCTGGACCCCCTCTGGTCTGGTTTCACATGTTTGCCTAACTTGATTAGCCCCACAGTCTTCGGAATCGGCGCCATACCCGTCAACAGTGACGCGAGAATGAAAGACAGTAGGGTATTTGATAACGGCCAAGGACGAAGTGAGACGGCGTACGCAGCCATCTTTGTCGAGGGCGGAAGCATGCGCTTACGGAGCGCCAGAGAGTCCATCACGGCCCCGGCGGCACCCTGGCAAGAGTTGAAGGCTCCGGGGATAGGGCGGAGCCGCCGCGCAGTGCGGGGTGGTGGGAATCGTTAGGCTGGTTCCGGACACGGTGTCCCATGGCCCAAGCGTCTGGCTCTGGTGGCCTGCTGCCTCCGCTGGCTGCCGTGCCGCCGTTACGGGCGCAGCCCCGAGGCGCCGAGGAGGAGCAGTGGCAGAGAAAGCGGGCAGGCGCTCTCCGCGGGGACGTTCGTGGCTGGCCGGGGCTGCCGGTTGCCCGGAGCACCCTCTGCCTGGATGCTCGGCCTGACGGGGCTCCGAAAGAGCGGCCGAGGGGGGCGGCGCCGGCGGACGCAGGAGAGCGCAGTGAGGCTGGCGCTGTAGACTGGGGGCGGGAGCTGGCACCTGGCGGCCTGATTCCTCCGGCTCTACGGCGTCTCAGGGCTGTGTTGCTGCGGCTGCAGCGCGAGCGGGAGCAGCTCCTCCAAGCGCGGAATTGCGCCCTCCACCTACAGGCGGCCGTGCGCCTCCTGAGGATCCTGAGTCCCGGCGCTCCATCTCCCAGCCACCGCCTCTTGCTTCAGCTGTGCCGCGACCTGCTACAGCACCTTTCCAGAGGGGCGGTCCTGCGAAGCAGCCTTCTGGAGACGCCCCACCCGCTACTCCTAGCACGCCCCGTCGGACTAGCAGCCCAACGCTTGGATGCTAGTGTCGAGATGCGGCTTCGGGCTCTGGGCCGGGCGCCCGCCACCCCAGCCCTGTCGTCCCAACTCGCCAACCTGCTGCTGACACTTACGGCGTACCACCAGCTGCAAGGGAAAGCCTTGAGCCAAGTCCCAGTATCAGCGCGCCCTTATCCCCCCGGCCGTGTGCTCCGCCTCCTAACGGGGGAGCGGGGTTGCCGGGTGGCAGGTTGGCTGGATGAGGCGCTCAGGGGATCTGGCTTGAGGGACCAGCTCCTCAGATGGTGCCAAGAGGAGCGGGAGCTGTTACCTGGGCTACTGGGCCTGTTGGGTGGCGTCGCGGGTTCAGCCAGCGGTGAACTGGGGCTTGGAGGGGCCGGAGCATTGTGGAGCCAGTACTGGACCCTGCTGTGGGCAGCCTGTGCTCAGAGCCTGGACTTAAGTCTAGGACCCTGGAGGGACCCCAGGGCAGCGGCACAGCAGCTGAGTCAGGCACTGGGTCAGGGTGAGTGATGGGCCTCGGTGGGTGTTTGGGAAGGCTGGAGTCTTTTACTTCTGTATTCACCTCACTCACCTGCCACCAGGCTACAAAAGCAGGCCCTTTAGAACGAACATCCCCCACCCCACCCAACCCCTGGGGGTTCAGGCTATAAGCTTCTTAGCTTTCAAGGCAAGGTCTTGCTTTCCATGCCAGCCTTGAGTTTTGGGGGAACTTCCCCTCTTCCCCCATCATTGAGTGGGGGCAGTGGCTGTGGAAGAGAGACCTTGTTTTCAGGCTCCAGAGTCATTTCTCCCACTAGCATCACTGCCTCAGGAGTGTGAGAAGGAGCTGGCTTCTTTGTGTCGCAACCTAATTCATCAGTCTCTTATTTGGAGCTGGGATCAAGGTGAGGAGGAAGGGGTAATGGCAGTGAGACAAGCCCCAAATTGCCCCTTCCTTATCAAACCATACCTCTCATCTTCAGGCTTCTGCCAGGTCTTGGGATCTGCTAGTGGAAATCAGAGCAGGCTTCCCTCATCCTCTTGTACCACCAAACTTTTACAGCAGCTCTTCCCTCCCCTCTTGGATGCCCTTCGGGAGCCCAAATCAGGACTGCTCCTCTGTGGGCAGCCAGGTGAGACAAGGTGCTGGGGATAGGGGATAGGAAAACACTGAGGACACCCCTTTTATTCCTTACTCTGTTCTGAAACCTGCCTCTTCCCAAAGGTGCTCCATATCCCTTCAGATACTCTGTCCCTCCTCTCCCCAGGTCCTGCACCCCTTGCCCTGGGGCTTTGTACCCTGCAGACTACCTTGCTCTGGTTTTGGAGCACAACTCAGCAGCATCTGGCAGCGTGGGCCCCAGGTTCCTTCCTGCTCCTGATCCAGAAGGAATTACCTGTGAGTAGCTAGGGAACAGGAGGGGAGCATCCTGCGTTGGGCTCAGAGTTCACTCTGTTTCTGTCAAAGCCTCTACTGCAGGAGGCAGAAGCTTTGTCTCGCCTGGCCTCAGAGGAAAGCTTGGCTCTGGATGTGGAGCAGCAGCTGGGCCTGGAGATCCAGAAGCTAATTGTGCAGATCCAGGTAAGGAGAGGTAACAGCTTGGGGGTTGGTGAGGTGGTTGTGATGGTGGGAGAACAACTCAAGTGCCTTGGAATTGCCACTGAATGTATCTTTTCTTGTGTGGACTACCACTAAATCCACTTTTTGTACTCTTATTATGGAAAATTTTTTAAAAATACAGGAGAGAGAAGAGCATAATGGACCTCCATACTCCTACCACTGAGGCTTTAATAACAATCAACCCATGGTCAATTTCTTTCACTTGTATATCCCAACCCCCAACTCCCATGTCAGGCTCTCCTGTTGTGACTTTAACAGCCACTGATGATCACTGTCTATATCCATTATTTCATTAGAGGGTGCAAGGTGGTGACATTCTGTCATCCTTTCTTCATTATAAATCAGATTACTCTTATGAAATGAAACTTTAAAATTTTTAATTTACTTGTTTGGCTGAGTCTTAATTGTAGCATGTGCAGTCCTCACTGAAGTATGTGAGATCTCTCATTGTGCATGGGCACCAGAGTGTGGGGGCTCAGGTGCCCTCTGCATGTGGGATCTAAGTTCCCTGACCAGGAACTGAACCGGGGTCCCCTGCATTGGAAAGTGGATTCAACCACTGGACCACCTGGGAAGTCCCAAGTGAAACTTGTCTCAAAAATTATTTGGTTACTTTGAGGTATATTTTGTAGAGAATAAGCAAGATAAATGATTGACTTTATTTACTTGTTTTCGATAGAATGTTTTTTTTTTTTTTGTAAAAGTACAACTTGTATTTTTATTAAAACCAAAATATTATTCTAGAAGGCTTGTGATGAAAAAATAGCACTTTAGTTGCCTCCACCTCGACTTCTAATCCCTGTTCTACAGTGGTGATTTTCATTCATTCTTGGCTGTTTCTTCTAATACTTAATTATTTTCCTCTAAATTTATGAACTAAACTCCTATACTTCTATTTAAATTGTTCTCTACCTTACACTCTGTCTGTTCCTATTGTGGATGATGTCTCTGCTTTTTGTTTTCTCTTCCTGCCCAGATGTCTCCTCTTTGCCCTGAACAGAGGCATGGTTGTGGAGTTTAGTTCCTGTCCCTCTGCTCCTTCTCTCTGCACCAAGGCGCTGTGAACCCTCACAGTTTAGCCCTAACCCACCATCTACATCTACCTGTTGGGCATTTCTACATCAGTTTGCTCCATGTCCTCTTTCAATTCAGCATGTCCCAGAACAGGCTCTTCATGAGTAGGCTTGGACAGTGATGATTGTGGGAGCTCTGGGGAGGGAGGGCTTTGGTGGGCATGTGGTAACAGAAGCTCCATACAGGGCCTATGGCTCAAGCTGGTGGATGGGTAGCCTCAGAGGAGCGGCGGGGGTTATTGGAGGTGGGTAGTTCATAGTTCCTTGGGGGAGTAGTGGGGAGATGGCCTGACCAAAGCAAAAGCTCCCTTTGTGTGTGTGTGTGCATGTACATGAGCACATACTTGCCCTAGCATGCACATGTCAAAGGTAGGGGCGGAGGATTGTGGAGGAGTAGGTTGTCATCAAGATGTGGAGGGCAGTGAACAACAGCCCACAGATTTTAGATTTTATCTCATAAGTGATAGGGAGCCGTTGTAAGCTGTAAGTGATAAGAGTTTGATCCAGCGATAGCAGTCAGGATAAAAAGGAAGCAGGGAGACATAATGTAAGAAAGGTCCAACTCTTGGTAGTTGCAGTGAGAAGAGAGCAAACAGGGCCGGGATGGTGTGCTCACCATGTGACCCCAATGCCATCGCGTTTCATGCCTTGTGCCACTGCTGGGTCTGTTCTGGGCTTTCAACTACATACAGCACTGGGACGAAAAAGAATGATCAGATATGAATTTTCTCCTCAGCTGGACTGTAACGTGTCAGAAAAAACTGTCTCATAGTGTGACCTTGTATTTCCTGAGTGCTGAGTACAGAATTTCCTAACAAATGTCAGTTGACAAAAGGGCAACATTTTTATCATATATAAGGGAGAAAGGGGTTCTGGTGTTTGGACTAAGAGAAGAGTTTGGATTTAGATAGGCTGTTGTCAGGATATGTATCTGGAACCACAGGGGCCCTCCCCCACCAAGTCTGCCCACCCCCGCCCCCCAACCCAGTCCCATCCTCTCTTCAGGCATACAGTCACTTTTTCTTTAGACCTGCCACTACACACCCCAATTCTTGGGGTTCTTCTCCAAGATGGGCTGTAGATACCTCTCTCTTTTTGCTGTCTTCTTCCCCATCCAAAAACAAAACCTATCAAATCAGAGAAACCAAACCAGCACAGGGACTTTTTCTTGCTTTATGGGTTATAATGCTTTGGAGAAATAGAAGTGGCTATAAAGAATATTCAGCGTGAGGACATTACAAAGGTTCCTGAATCTCAGAAACTTATATTCATTGCTCCTGATCTACAAGCAGTTCTTGCCTTCCTTTTACAGATGACAGAAGATTGTACAATTTGCTTTTCTCTTTTCAGCCGCTGCCTGTCTGTAGATCATGCAGACCCCTCTCTGTAGCATTTGCTTTTGAACATTGGTGGTAGTGAGGGTGTCTCCCATCTTTTTTTTCCTATTAATGTTCCTATGGAATAAAATTAACCTGGAGGATATCCATTTTCTAAACCAAGCTGAGGAGAGTAGGGTAATCTTAGGGCAATTGTCCATAATCTTTTCTCAGTCCAGGCCTTTGGAAAACTCAGTAAAAGCTATAGCATCTCTCCTCAGAAAATGCTCAAGCCCATACAATTATGCATACAGTTCTCTTCTGGGGCTTTAT